TTTTCAGACAGCCCCTTACCCCTAAGACTCACTAACATGGAAGCAAAGAGAACTCTTAGGACACACAAGTGCCTTGTGCAGATGCTTCAGCAAACCTTGTTTTTTGGCTTTGTGCATGTTCAACCACTCAGCCAGTGTTAACCTGTCAGTGCGCAGTTAAGTGGCAACTGCGTTAACTCCGAAAGGATCAAAAGTGACCAAATGTTCAAGATAATTCTGCCTGGTCACCAACTTCAAAAGGATAGAGAGGTGATCTTAGGAGTTCCTCAGAATGCTTCCGAGTCTAGTTTCTTCATCTTACAGAGCCTCACAAAGCATTCCCTCCCTCTTTTGGTGGGACACCGGTCCTTGGTGTTGGCGCTCTTTTCAACAGTCGCACCCGGCAGCATGTGCACCTTGATGGCAGGATGAGATAGAAAGTTCAGATAGCACACTTGTCCAGTCCGAATCTGACATAGAAAGAATAGTTATATAATCTTGTATGTATATGTATGTGTATGTATATATATATATATATTGTACATGTGTATAAATACATAAAATAATGGCAGAGTATCGTATCTTCTCTCGTAGATGGATTCCCCGAAAACGATGCAGCTCAACAGGTGGCCCTGACGGTCTCTCGTTGAAACGTTGATGAAACCCGCTGGGCCCAGTACCGTTCGCACCACCTTCTCGCCCAAGAAGTTTCGGATCTCGATGGTCTGCACGGCCGAGGGGGCTCTTTCTCCCGGTCAATTTTTCTCACAGTTCATCAGGTGCAGGAGGGCAAAAGGGCACAGACCATGATGAGTGCAATCTTCAAGTCCTAAATCAGTCTGGAGGGGACTGCCGCATGAGCCATGCAAAGAAGAAAAATGGGTTTTTTTGAATTCGCGCCATCAGAAATCAAGCATCAAGCCACATGCGCCGCATGTAATCGGGACGTTGGAGGATTTGGAGGCTTCAGGCCCAAGCCCTGTTTCAAGCCGCATGATCCGCATTGTTTGAAGCCGGGTCAGATTACCTAGATCAAAAGGACGGGAGTGTAGCTAGTCGAATGGGCATAGAACATAGAAGTGGTGTTTTCTATTGATATTAACCTGGCAAAATGAACAGGGTGGTTTGGTCATTGAATGATTGCAGGAGAGTATTCAAAGTGGAGCACCAACACATTCGTATGTGCTAGAAACTACCTTGTTCAAGCCCCTTGTTCCAGCGGCCCTCGGCCGACACCCTGCACCTTCAACGTCCAGTCGCGACGGCCAGTCGCGACGGGTGTCCTGGTCACCACGTCTTCTTCCACACTCCGTCGCAGCGTCTGCGTCTCCGGTCTCGCAGCGGGGTGGTGTCCGTGCCTTGCCACCGCTGACGATGTTCACGTTGATGGGGAAGTGCGCATAGACCAGGCGCATCTTGTACTCGAACTTCTTGGTCACACCCTGACAAGGGTGCGGTGCAACATGGACGTTTGGGTGTCTTCATTCTTTGTGATAGGAAGCCACAGTGTGTTTGGTAGAGGATTTGGGATTTTGGAGATGTGAACGACTGCAAGACAGTAAAAAGGAAGTAGGGCCCTGAGACACAGAAGATCGCGAGTCGTCACTAGTCACTCACGAATATCGAGCTTGGCAATCAAAAAAGGACTGAAAGCTGAAAGCCTTTAGTTGGTAGTAGCTCTGCTCAAGCCCTTTTGCTTCTTGTGGCAGGCCTCAAAGAGGTTGGAAATGTGGCTGCATACCTGCCGCATTCGGTGCGTTCACTGCTTTCATGACTGCACCATGGTGCACCCTTGGAGGCGAACATGGGAAACATCCCCCTTTTCAACCCCTTTCCTTTGCAGTGGTTTCAGATTCTGCCTTCATCTGCGTTCGAATGTTCTAAGACTTCTTTCCTTATAAAATCATAGAGCCACCAAGCAGCGGCATTCCCTTCAATACGGTCCAGTGACGCCCTCTTTGTTTTAAAGCAAATCATGAGAACATCTCCGTGTCAGACCGGAAGAGGGGCTGTTTCGCATCGACACCCGGAGGACTTGTGGGCAGACTCACCTGTGACCATTTCGGCTGCTACACTGTCTTCAAAAAGAACATCCCAACAAAGCAGCAGCAGTGCCAGCGCCAAGAAACAATCCACAAATAATCACAAATACATACAAATACTACATCCACACCCAATGCAGCAGCTAGACCACACTGACCTCGTGCCACCAGCAGAACCACCGCAACTATCACTACTGTATCTGGAGGCAAAAGTACATGATCTGGAGGCAAAACATAATGCTTCAACTCACATACATACATCAGCAAGCTCAGGAGCGTTTCTTTCAGAACACTCTCTGTGGTTCTTCTGAGACGACAAACTTGCAGCTCAGTGGCAGTGTTCAGCATGGAGCACTGCTTGCTCTTGGCGAAGTACATCCGTGCGACAACCTCACCAGGCTGATGTCATGGAGAGTCAACACCACTGTGCATCCCCTTACCGCCTTAAACCAACATACGCCGTGGGGCGAAGGAAGACCAAGTCCTGATTCCACGCCTAGTCCAACTCCCCAACAAAGCTCGATCGATTCCTTCCAACATTGTGATGCTAAACTGGAGTATGTCAACTCCTTAGCACGGTCCAGCTTTTCGACCTATTTGACCTCAATCACTTCTGTCACTTCCAACAACACTCCCTGTCTTTTTCCAGCTTGCGACCGGGACGGATGGTCACCTGCTAAGAAAAGCCGACCAACCATTGGGCTGGGTTTGTCTGCGGTCTGAAATTCACTAAGGTCAAAAAGAACTAAATTACGCCCTCACAGACCCCAAACAGTTCTAGCATGTTCTAGCATTGTTTTTTGGTGTCAACTCCTTGAACTCCAATGTTGGTGGAAACGTCTGTAATTAGATTCCTTTAAACTCCAGCTGATTGGGAACGGCATGTGAACAAACATGTTTGATCACAATAGTTCCTGATGCCTGAAAAAAACATGTGCCACGAAGGGGCATATGTCATGAGAAAGTCGGATGATGATATCAAAGTTGAAACGCGGAGCGAGAAGCTACTAGGGGCTCCTGGCATCGCTACTAGGAGCAAGGACGCTACGAACGGGGCTCCTGGCCTTACTACCAGGAACAAGAAGCTACTAGTAGCAAGAAGCTATTAGTAACAAGTGCCACGCTATACTAGTAGTAACAAGAAGCTACTAGTAGCAAGAAGCTCTTAGGATGACTGTTGCATTCGCCACGCGAACACCTCCCCGGGTGGAGAAACGGACAGCGGCCAGACCGACCCGACAGACCGACCCGACCTGGCCGCCCGCTGTCCGGCCGCGTGGTCAAGCCAGACACACCGAGTGGATCGGGGAGGGACAAGGCAACAAGGAGAAGACGGCTATCGTGCCAGCCCTTCTTTTCCTCAGAGAACCCCAACAGTAAACTGTTTGGGGAACAAGAGGAGGACTCGGGGTTCGCGAGCGCGGCCAAAGACAGCAAGAAAACACCAGGCAGACAAGAGCAGGAGTTGCGAATGCGGCTAGAGGACAGCAGGACAAGAGAAGGACATAGGTTTCGCCAACGTGGCCAGAGTACAAGAAGAGGACAACAGGAGGACAACACCTGGACGCAAGGTTCAAGGGCGTGGCCAGAGACTGCGTGCGGCCAGTGTTTTCTCAGACAGAACCACATCAGTAAACTGTTTGGGGAAAAAAGAAACGGGTTCGGCAACTCACACCCAGGTCGAAAAGTGTCCATCCCACCTTCTTGCCACCATTGGCCAAGAAAAGCTCGATGGGGAGGTGCTTAAAGTCTCTCTTCAAGCTGCCATGCTTGCCAGTGACCTGGCTTGGAAGAGGCACAAGTCTCCAAATGTTTTTCGGGGACTCTTTCAAAACAGCACTTTAACCATGGCGGCAGCAGCAGCATTTGGTCAGCTAGTATATACACTCTGACTCACTAACATGGAAGTGGAAGGCATGGCCCCTTGGAAGATGACTTTCCAGTGAAAATACAGGGCGCCACCCAGTTCCATGTTAGTGAGTCAGAGTGTAGATGGCAGCTAGCTTCAACCTTCCTTTGGTAGCTCTGCCGTCTACTGCTTGCCGTGACAGCTGTGCATCTGTTGCCATGTTCGGTCGATACCATAAACACGGTGCACAATAAAGCAGCTATGGATTGGTGTCCTTTCAAGTGACCATTGCCGCAAACTTCCTGTTCTGCTGCTAACAGGACTGTTGGAAGTCGCCAAAGGGGAATTCTCAGGTGGGGAGCAACCTGACTGCTTACTCCATCGACCGTCCTGAAATGCTGGGATCTGTCAGTCTAGGAACACGTAACTTTATGATACCAGGCCTTCATGGCCAGTATGACTGTCAATATCCTGGCTCAAGATTACACCCAGGGTTCTCATTAATATATTCAACATCAGCTTTGTCTTTGACAATGTGGAACTCGGCTTCGGAAGACAAAGGGCCTCAACGATCTTGGACTTCACCGTGATCTTGCACCCTGCACTCGTTTCTTTCGGCCGCACTGGGTGCCGAGGGGGAAAGGGGAGTGCGAGAGAAAGGGATTCATCGCTATGGTTTGATTGGGAATGAAACTGAGTGTGTCCTGCTTCTTGAGCTCGGACTGCGGGTGTGGTTGTGTTGTGCTGGTGTCAGGTGGTCTGAGCGATGACAAGAACGGAGGTGGAAGGTGAGTACTTCCAGAGCGCAGAAAAGCAAGTCGACAATGACCGGCAATGGCAATGACCTTGAAGGGTCTCCCCCAAACACATCTTTGTCACTTCACTTTTGAAGTTCTCCTTTTTTCTCCCGGCACTCTCATTTGGTTTCCATGCGAAACAGCTTTAAAAGAAAGACACACAGGCCATTTCACCTCGTGTTTTAGGATGTCACTGGGACTCACGTTCTCCGCTTCGCGGCCACCGTTTGTTGGTGGATGTGGGACGGGCCAGCCTAGCTTTCCCACGGCCGGGGTGTCGAAACGACCACGAACATCCACCACGGCCCGTGGCCGAATCGTAGTCTGATTCATGTCTAAAGCCATCACTGATTCAAGGCCTTTAGCCATCTCAAAGGCAAAAATGGAGCCCAAACACAACGATTTTTGACCGAAAAAGATCCTCAACGAAGTTTAACAAAGAACTTCACCTCGTTCGCCGGCGAGCGAAACAGGGCCTTTGGGCACCTTCACAGATTCCTGACAAGGCGACAAGCCGTGGACCGACTCGGCTGGTGAACTGCCGACTCGTCCTGTAGTGTGTCAACTGCCACCTGGATGGTCAAACAATGTCATAACATGTCGGGATTGATTCATCAACGGCCAAAACAAATGCGATTCTGACCTTCTCGCTTTGAGTCGGCTGACTTCTTGGGACCAAAAGATGGCGCAGTGAAGGCGCAGAAAGAAATCCGGGGAGCCCAGGCAAAGAGTCACTCTTTTGACCATATGGATTTTTTAAAAAAAATATATATATATATATACATATGTATGATATTCTATGACTGTATACTCTGGGATAGACATCACCAACTAAAGGGGTGCCGTGACGAGGTCTTCATGACTCCTGTCCTCCGTGAGCAAGGTCCTCATGGTGACTTCACCTGCAGAGCACGCTTCATGTTCAAGTGAAGTCACCAGATCCCTAGGATGGCTCCTAATGATGTATATAAGTCTTATGAAGCGATCAATTTCATGAATTCCGGATCATTCCGGGGCCCGTCTGTGGGGAGTTGTCTGGGCGATGCTGGCGATGTTTCTTTGACTCACGAATTCGGTCGAGTCGACTCACAAAGCGGTTCAACATGAGCCTGAGGATTTTTGATGTCCACGGCGTGCACGGAGTACGGATTGCACACCAAGTATATAAATGGATGCTTTCGAGCTACATATAAATGTATATATTACTATTACCATGATTAATAGTTGTATTGTCTTTTTTTTAAATATTATATTGTTGTATTATATGCTGTATTATATTGTTCTTGCTAAATCACATCTTGCACTTTCCAAAACGACCAACGGCAAAAAGCCTCCGATCGAGGTCCCCCAACCACGTTCCCCCCAACCACGTTTCCCCCATCGTTCCGGGTCGTGACGAACCGTCGAAGACGAACGTAGCGGAAAAGTGCACGTGAGACGAACGGGGCAAAGGCGTGGATCGTGGCGAGGATGGGGAGCAGATGAGTTCATATTGGCTCATTCTAGGACATCGTCTAGGAGCTAAGGGTGACAAAGTTGAGAAGGAAGCTGCAATCTGCACCACACATGTCGCACATCGCAATACGATACGAAATGAGTGCTACATAAGAGTAGAGTTGTGAGCGTCCAGCTAAGCTCAGAGCTACCAGGTACCTAAACGATCCTGAAGTTGGATGATCCAAAGCTCCTTCGAGAGGCAAGGCAACCATATGCCAAATTCTTGAAATTCATGGGGTCAATCTGTGCACAACACAGACTCTACCAAGTGCATCCAAGTGCTCCAATATGATGTTGAGTCCACCAAGTTCCGTTCTTAGTACCCAAATAAAAACCTCACGGATGCCAACCCTTTAAAATCGCCAGTGATGCTCCTTGACCTTCCAAATTCCGCCGAGCCACGGTGATGTTCCGCCAATGGCGGTCGCGCGAAGCTTTGAGCGTGGACCGCTGCAGGCGACCGAATATGTCACATGTCAGTGCGGGACCGTCTCGGAAGCATCTCGGCCCCCGAAAAAGAGGAGTCCAATGAAATTGGCCATTGGGGATAGGTTCAGATGTGTACCCGATGTGTAATTACCTGATGTGTACCCTGATTCGCCCCAATTCTGCAATCTGGGCGATGGCTGTCAGTCATCATGAACGACTTGACTTTACTTTACTATGATCTGGTTCTAGCTATATATATATATATCGAATCTCCGAACCCGTCCATGTCAATCCCAAAGGCAGCGATGTCGCGCAGCAATTTCTCACCGGGAAGCTGGGGGATCGGCTTCTCACCATGTGCTTTGCTCCTTTTCAGGACGTATCCAAGGGCATCATGAAAGTCAGATACAGCAATTACATGATATTACATATAACTACTCCATGAAACTTCCAATGTGTCCAGAGTTTTCAGGGTGTTTCCATGGGGACAAAGCCAGGTGTTCAGAAGCACCGCTTCAGTGATGAATGAGCTTTCGCACTCTTCACGCTGCCGGAAGACGGAAGATCGGAGCTTGACTCCAACATGCCGCCGAGGTACACCGAGAGGGCTGGGGCATGGAGAGATTGACGCGTTTGGGAGCGAACCTGAACAAACCTTGATGGGATCCCATCAACAAAACATGGACTCAAAGATCAGAAAGGAACTCTTTGTTTTCGTCTGTTCTTGTGACTTGTTCTTTTTTGGATGGTATGTGAGTGTATGTGAGCGTATGTCGCTGGAAACAACGTTGCAGTGCAGAGCGGAAAATCTGATGGAACCTCTCCACACCTTGCAGAACCCTCTTTCGGCGTCACTCATCGCCAGTACTGATCTTGCTTCCTCAGTCTTCGCGGAAGTCCCTTTTGCGGGCGGGTGCTATGGCTTTCTTAGTTTTGGAAAGGCTATGATGATCTATTTGGTGGGTTTATCATACACAGCGTAGGTTCGAGCTGTTTTGCAAAGGGGCGTGTTTGTTGTTGGAGACTTCTCTGGTCTGGCATCTCAGCTGCTTCTGAGGTGTGCCAATGGTGAAACACCTCGACAAACACTCAGTGACATCAGGATGTGTCTCGAAAGAGGACCCCCAGTTGGGCGTGCACTAGGAAGAGATCATGAACCCCGCTCTGTTGTCGAGATCCTCGATTTTCTGAAGCAATCCCACTTCAAGGATCACCTTTGACCCGCCACAAAGCACCACACAGCACGATGTCCTGCCCCGCCCTGGCCCGTCCAAGCAACGTGATGTGGAGGATTTCGTCCATGGTTTGTTTGACCTGCCAAGGGGGGTCGCTTCGCAGGGCTTGGGCATGACTTGCCGCCTCTGCACAGCTCCGAACGGGTAGGACGTTCAAGATCTCCGATTTGATGAGGCGAGCCCTGTCATGAGGGGATCTCCAAACTGGCTAAAACAGGACTTGCCCAAGATGGACATCTAGAGTTGGTAGACATGGTATTCAGAGAGCGAGCGAAGAACCAGACAGTACGGCAAAACGTCATCTTGTTCTTGCCACACAGTTGCCTTGTTCTTGCGTGTGAGACTCCTCTACCCCAGCGTGATAGCACCACAAAAGTCACTCATGGGCATTGGGCTCAAAAGAAAGGGGGCTTCGTCCATGGACTCTTTTGGGAAGGCCCTGTTGAAGACTGCCTGGGAGTCATGAAAACACAAGTTCAAACCTACTTTCCGGCCTTCTAGGAATGATCGTTCTTCTGAAAGAGACCCCGGACCGTCAAGTCTGACGTCTGAAAAATGAATCGGTGTGGAGAAGAGTGACCCATTTAAATGTATTTATATATATACTACACAACATGGCCATGTTTGAAGCCGTTACTAACTTCTGGCGCTCTGATTCTTATTTGGTGGTGACCACAACCAGGTCTAGAACCCGCTGCCCAACTCTTTGGGGTTTTGGAGAGAACAAACAACATCAAACAACAAATCGGTTGGTCATGGAACAACATTCACGGTCTCCTTGTCGCACGCCACCCGAGGCCACGCAAGCGCAAGAACCCCGCAAGCTTCAACAGAATGATGAGAGTCAGGTTTCAGCGGCATCTAGCAACAAACAACGTCAAAGAAGTCAAGATGAACTGAAAAACATTCAACCACAAAAAGAAGGAAGCCTGGTGCACAATAACATGCTTAGTTGTGCTACGCTGCTACATGTATCACACAACTGCGTTATTCTATCACACAACTTCTCTCAAGTATATACATCATGGCACCAAAAGCCATCCTCAATCGATGACATTGCAGTCGCTCCTTTTTTGGCAAACATGGACCAATCAACTTGCACGTGCAATCAAGGTGTAGCACATCAAAGGATTGTCATTGCTATATATATATATATATACCACCCGCCCACACCCACCCCGCCCCACATCAGGCAGCACTTGATGCGGAAAGTATGGCGTCTTACGTGCACCCACCCGACCCATGTCAAATGACCGGTCAAATGGACCTTCGCTGCCGCCGCGAGCGGCGCGCGGGTCCGAAAGGGGTCGGGAAGGAACAAGCGGAACGCCTCCGTTTGCACGTTGGTCATCCTGTAGACCGGACAAAACACCAACACCATTGTCCAACAGCCCATCCAAAAAACACCATGGTGCGCGCCTCCGGGAAATCCTTCCAGTATTTCACCTGCGTGGCAGTCATGTGACTGCGACCAATCTGCACCTTAGACGTCAGTCAGTGTCAGACAGGCAGCCCAATATCAAGCCGACCAAAGGACCTATGTCAGGAAGATCGCTAATTCAGAGAGTGACAGGCACGGCCTTTTGCTTAGTTCTTCACCCCCCTCCATGTCTTCAATGCTTCCACCCTTGTCTTCATCTTCCATTCGCTCGAACTGGGCGTTCCGGCTGTCTGCCAGTCCAGAGAATCAATGAGGCCAAACTCTAAAAGAAGTGGCCTCAGCGGGTGGGGGTCGCAACGTGTCTCCCTTTTCTTCCCCTTTCGCAAGCAAGAGACACAGCAAATGCTCTCATCGAGCGGTCTTTGAAGGTCCACCGTTGCTACACAGAATGGAGAGAGGCGGAGATGCCCAAGTTGCCCCGCGAGAGAGGCCCCAAAAGATGCGCTCAAAGCACTCTGCACAACATTTTATGGTCTGGGTCGGTCTCGAACATAGAAAAACACGTACGATGCCATTGGACAAGCACTTGAACCCATTCTGAACTATTGGAAGCTTTCGTGAGCTTCCACAGTTCATCTTCCACCGAAAGTTCCTTCCGGACTCGTGAAAGCTTTCGATGGGGAGCATATTGGATCAATAAGTCTGCCTCCCCCTTCAACGAACCAGTGGCGCTCTGTGGCATGTCGCCCTCCTAGTAAACACACCAAGTCAACAGGTCAATGAACAACACAAAACACAAGAGAAACACATCCTGCAGTGTTCCTGCTCCTTTTTCCTCCCTCTATCACACGTCCTTCTGTTCCCAAGCGACCCCAGACAAATTCGCTGCGCCCCCCGCAGTCCACCGTTTCCCGGCACGTCCTGCCTTCGTCCCGCCCAAACGGCACCCGAAGAAGCCGGTTGGTTTTTGGGATTTTGAGGATCCGACCCTTCCACCTGCACCAGGATCTCTTCGATCGCCAGGATGTAGCGCATCATGTCCTTAGCGAAGAAAGGCGCGAGACCTGTTCTTCGCCGACCTTCGGGGGGGACGGGGGACTTCGGATGGAGCCGAAGAAAAAGCTTGGGATGGATTCGGATGGATGAAGAACAATGGTGGTGATCTGGCTCCCAAACCTTTCAGAAGAGCCATCCCCAACTCAGTCTTGACCATGGGATCCGGATGTCCTCGATGTCCCACTCACATGTCCCTCCAGTCCCACTCACAACAGTCCCGCGTTGCGGGCCCGCCCGCTGGGGATGGGCGAAACTCGGCTCTGGGTAATCGGATACAACGCTTGGAACCGCGGTTTCGGCTCATTGGTTCGTCTCGTTTCGTCGATTTGGGCCATGTGAAAATGTTTTCGATGTTGGAAGACTGACCCTCAAACCTCAGAACGGGTAGAAAATTATTCCAAACGTGTGGTGTGGTGCAAATTTTGTTGAAGCTCACGTGAGATGATATTGTCACTTTTCGTGGCAGGCGCAGTACTTTGTGCGGATTTTGAGGTGTGGAAGTGCGATTTTCGTGGCAGGCGCAGGAAATCGTGAGGTTGCGAGGTGTGACGGAGGTGACATTTCGTGGCAGGCGCAGTACTTTGTGCGCGTTAGACGCGTGGATGCGGAATCGTGAGGTCGTGAGTTGTGGTAGAGGTGATGTCGCTGTCACATTGGGATTGGCGTGTGAGCGGGTATTGTTTGGAGGGGCTGGACTCGCGAACCTGCTTGGCAGGGCTGCGTGATGTGTGTGCTCCGATGGGTGTTTCCGCTTGACTTTTGGAGGAAGTCTCGTACGAAATCCTCGTTTTGCAGACTTTGACTTTGACATGTGAGTTTTGGAGGAAGTCCGAAACGCTTGTTTTGGAGACTTGACACGTGACTTTTGGAGGAAGTCTCGTACGAAACGCTCGTTTTGGAGACTTGACGTGTGACTTTTGGAGGACGTCTCGTACCAAACGCTCGCTTCTAGTGTGCCACAAGAGTGTCCCAAAAGAGTGTCCTACAAGAGTGTCCCACAAGAGTGGTCCGACAAGAGTGTATCAGAAGAGTGTCCCACAAGAGTGTCCTATAAGAGTGTCCCACAAGAGTGTCTTACAAGAGTGTCCCACAAGAGTGTCCTATAAGAGTGTCCCGCAAGAGTGTCCTACAAGAGTGTCCCACAAGAGTGTCCACAAGAGTGTCCCACAAGAGTGTCCCACAAGAGTCCCACAAGAGTGTCCTACAAGAGTGTCCTACAAGAGTGTCCACAAGAGTGTCCTACAAGAGTGTCCTACAAGAGTGTCCCACAAGAGTGTCCCACAAGAGTGTCCTATAAGAGTGTCCCACAAGAGTGTCCTACAAGAGTGTCCCAGAAGAGTTTCCTACAAGAGTGTCACACAAGAGTGTCCTACAAGAGTGTCCCACAAGAGTTTCCTACAAGAGTGTCACACCAGAGTGTCCCACAAGAGTGTCCCACAAGAGTGTCCTACAAGAATGTCCTACAAGAGTGTCCCACAAGAGTGTCCCACAAGAGTGCCCCACAAGAGTGTCCTGCAAGAGTGTCTCACAAGAGTGTCCCACAAGAATGTCCGACAAGAGTGTCCCGTAAGAGTGACCCACAAGACTGTCCTATAAGAGTGTCCCACAAGAATGTCCCACAAGAGTGTCTTATAAGAGTGACCCACAAGAGTGTCCTATGAGAGTGTCCCACAAGGAGTGTCCTACAAGAGTGTCGTGTAAGAGTGACCCACAAGAGTGTCCCAGAAGAGTGTCCTACAAGAGTGTCTACAAGAGTGTCCCGCAAGAGTGTCCCACAAGAGTGTCCTGCAAGTGACCCACAAGAGTGTCCTGTCCCACAAGAGTGTCCCAGAAGAGTGTCCTACAAGAGTGACCCACAAGAGTGTCCTACAAGAGTGTCCCACAAGAGTGTCCCACAAGAGTGCCCCGCAACAGTGTCCCAACAAGAGTGTCCTGCAAGTGACCCACAGAGTGTCCTATAAGAGTGTCCTACAAGAGTGTCCCAGAAGAGTGTCCCACAAGAGTGTCCTATAAGCGTGTCCCACAAGAGTGTCCTACAAGAGTGTCCCACAACAGTTTCCTACAAGAGTGTCCCACACGAGTCTCCCACAAGAGTGTCCCACAAGAGTGTCCTACAAGAGTGTCCTACAAGAGTGTCCCGCAAGAGTGTCCCACAAGAGTGTCCTGCAAGTGACCCACAAGAGTGTCCCACAAGAGTGTCTCACAAGAGTCCCTTAAGAGTGCCCCACAAGAGTGTCCCACAAGAGTTTCCTACAAGAGTGTCCCACAAGAGTGTCCTACAAGAGTGTCCCACAAGAGTGTCCCACAAGAGTGTCCCACAAGAGTGTCCCGACAAGAGTGTCCTATAAGAGTGTCCCACAAGAGTCCCACAAGAGTGTCCTACAAGAGTGTCCTACAAGAGTGTCCCACAAGAGTGTCCCACAAGAGTGTCCTATAAGAGTGTCCCACAAGAGTGTCCTACAAGAGTGTCCCGCAAGAGTTTCCTACAAGAGTGTCACACAAGAGTGCCCCACAAGAGTGCCCCACGAGAGTGTCCTACAAGAGTGTCCCACAAGAGTGTCCCACACAAGATTGTCCCACAAACGTGACCTACAAGAGTGTCCTATGAGAGTGTCCCACAAGAGTGACCCACAAGAGTGTCCCACAAGAGTGTCCCACAAGAGTGTCCTATAAGAGTGTCCCACAAGTGTGTCCTACAAGAGTGTCCCACAAGAGTGCCCTACAAGAGTGTCCCACAGGAGTGTCCCACAAGAGTGTCCTGTAAGAGTGTTCCACAAGAGTGTCCCACAAGAGTGTCCCACAAGAGTATCCTACAAGAGTGTCCCACAAGAGTGTCCCACAAGAGTGTCCTACAAGAGTGTCATTTGGACATATGTATATATCTTTTCGAACGTGTTTGCATTCGGGTTCGTGGGCTCCATCTTGTTTACTGATGTCTCTGGAGACTCCTGCACAATGTCAGCCAAGTCTCTGGATAGCATTTTCGAGCAAGCTCAGAGAACTGCTTCTGGTAGAATGGCTCCTTGTAGGCGGCCATGAACCTGAAGCGAAGAGCGAAACGTTGGCGACCACGACGGCACACTCAGCTGTGCAGTTCGGATCCAGCGCCGGTTCGGCGATTGGATCAACTCGGTCCAACAGTTGCGCGCTCGTTGCACATCCAAACGTCTCCCCTTTTCATACATCGGGACCGAGACTTGCCCACCCACCGAGAGGGAGTTCTACCACGAACCACGGCTTGGTCCGAGTGCGTCCGAGAACTCCTGAAGTCACAGCGAAGATGAATCGCTTCGCTTCGCCAGGCGGCTTCTCTTGAAGTTCCAGGAGCTCCGTTGGCGTGACCTCGGGCCGCGGCTTCGGTCGCGGGACGGTCGGGAGGGACGGGCGGTTTGGATGGTGGGTTTTTGGGGGGTGGTTGGAGGCATGTGCGAAAGGGTGGAATTGGTGAAAGTGAGGGCAGAAATCGTGCGATGCATGGCATGCCTGCAGGTGCAGAATTCCCAGCCACTTGTTTGCTATGCGGAAGTTCAGCTGCTTCACTCCAATATGGGTATTCTACATCAAAAGCACGGTACAAAGTTGCGGGTCCTTGAAAGTGCCAAGAACAGTGGCGCTTCAGCCACACTGTCACAGACCATTGTGACTGTGGAGTTTGCGATTGACGCTGGGTCTCGAGCGCCCTCCCAGCCCGAGACTTCCTGCTCCGCCTGCAAGCTTCGCAGGCTGCTTCGCTCTCGTTCCATAGTGCTTCCCACCAAAAAAATGAAATTTGATCGGCTGCCGCACATACAATCCCTTCCCCCCCAAGATTGCTGCCGGCAGAATGAGTCTTGATGCATCCGTTCACTGTTAGGTGGAGGCTTCGATATGTAAGGGGAAAGATCAATGTATAAAAGTGCAACAGGATCGACCATCGGAGGACATCGACACGGATAAGGCCACGACCAAGAAAGGGCTCTCTGAAAACGGGCTCCAAGAGAGAGAGGTCTACTCTGCTTCCGGCCAACAGGGCGTCATCCGGGACGATCTGTCGAGACCCACGACAGTCCTTAAGTCCTTTGGACGTCGGATTCGTCGGTGCGTTCCACACGACGGACTGGTCCTGACTGACCAACGGAAAACATCACCCAGCTTGGCGACTCACCTGCAACCCGAGAAACCGGACGCCGATCCCAGGACGGGGAAGGACGGTGACCAATGGCTGGAAAAGGCATGGAAAACACATGGAAAAACTGAAGAAACGTGCCTTCCTGAAACCAAAGCACCTACCCTGGCACCTACCCTGGCACCTCACTGTCATCGGACTCTGCAGAGAGCGACTCCACGAGGTCACCTCGTTCCAAACCGATTCGGACGGTCGCCTCACCGGTGGGTTGGAGTGAAGGGCTGGAGGCCATCGCGACTGTAGGTTGAAGGAACTCAGTTCCAGGGCCTTCAAGGGGTAAGGGACACCCCTGAAAACCTCTAAGGAGCTATAAATAGACATCCTTTGGAGGATCCTGGTTGTTGACTCTTAGTTTCAAGTCGAAGGGCTTTGTCTATCTTTTTCTGCTCCTCTTTCGTCTTCGTGATTCTTGTGTCGCCTTTGCTTGATCGACATGATCGACCAAAATAGAAGTTCCCCATGCGGAGCAAATCTGCGTCGGGTTGGGAGGTTGTTGGAAGCAACTTTTCTTTTGAGGAAAGATGAGGAAAGGATGATTTCTCGGGTGCCTTTGTCCTGGGATGGACTAAGCCAAGTGCAAGCGCTCTTCATCTGGAACCTCTTTCACTTCAGCCTTCATGCTTTCAATATCTACTACTTGCTCATGCCAGGCAGGCTGTCTAAGCTGGCTGGGAACATCATCCATTCTCGCCACAACACCAGTTTAGCTCTGACTCGCTCCAACTCAGCGTCGCTTTCCCCCCCGCCAAGAACGACCTTCACCGTCTCGACCAAAGCCCCCTCGGCTCGATCGAACCGCCCTTCCACCCTTCGTTCCACGGCCTATCCCACGATCACGGTCCAGCTGATCCGCCAAGTCCTGGGATACTCGGGACTCGTCGCGTTCGTGGGGGGGGAGGGCGGAGGCGCAGAAAAGAACACTGGGGGAAGGCACCCTGAAATCGAGACAGTCCCGTTTTTGCCGGTTACAACGAATTGAACCAATTGAAAAGAGTTATTAACGGTTAGATGCCTACCTCCCCCCCAACAAAAAGAAGGTTGGGGAGCGCTAGTAGCCGCTAGAGTATACCATGCCTACTGGTATCTAGTGGTGAATTCCCAGCTTTTCACCTCACTAATTCTGAGTTCGGGCCGACCGGTGGCGAAGTCCCGTGTTTCCACCAGTGGTTTCCACCGGTGTCTCGCCTTCACCGTGGGGAAGTCCAACAACAAGGTGGCCTCGTGGTCGCTTCACGGCCGAACGGCGTCTGCTGTGAAGGGGTGCCAATACCAAATTCACCCTCAACAAAAAGACTTCAACACAAACCACCTGGCCATTCTCCGTCTTTGTCTACTATGTCACTCTTTCATGAAAGGAACCCTCAGCTACCACAAGCGGCCCTTCTCACTCTGCCAGACTCGGCACGCCGGCAGGAAGATCCAAACGGAAGGAGCTGCTCAAGCGATTTCGCACTCGAATCAGCTCCAACCTGACCCAAGAAGGCTGGCACGATTTTCCACATGTCCATTGGTTGGAAAGGCCCATCGGCGTGCAGGGCCGGAAAAGAAGGAGTATAGGGAAGGCTTGGTAGCTCTTGAGGGTCTGAGCTTGTTCCTTCAAGACCCTGTGAGAGTAATGCGCTGGAAAGTCCAGCAATGGCCACATCCAAATGATACACCAGAACATGCCGGGAAACTGAAACTTGTACTTCTTCTTTGGGCTGACAGTGGCCCGAATTTTTGTGAGCACGGCGAAGTGACCCCCAGCCGCGTCCAAGCTCCCGGCGAGTCCATACCGTAGTCGAAAAAGCCCTTGTGCAAATCCAGGCGGTCAAGCCTCGTGGCGGTCACGCCGGTGAAGTCCGTGGTGACCGGGGACGGCGGCAGGACGGAAGCCATAGTTGTGATGCTATTTGGCGGCAGAACCAAAGGACCATGGTCAGAATGCTAAGACAAAAACTGAACTGCTTCTGACTTCATGTATATATCTATATATATATATATTATGCATTGCATGATTATGCCTAATATTACATATTACATCTAGCTATTTCAAGACGATTCCAAACGACTTGATGGCCTGCATGATTGGCAATAGCACTGAAGGCCAAAGCCGCTCAAGTTCTGTCAACTTGTGGAACAAATCCTGAAAAGCTCCATCCACTACATTCACTTTGCCGGGAAGCCTCCAGTTTTGCACCAGTCCAAGGCTAGACATGTCTGGTTTCGCACGTGCCATTCGGATCCGCGATTGACCCACCCCAAACCGGTCGTAGTCTACATGTCATGCTGACTATTCTCACCATGGCAGCCAGATACTCTACATCAACCATCTCTAAGTTCCTCTCCCTATGTTCCAAACAAAGTGAAACTTCCTCCATCCCTGCGCAAAACAAAACACAACCCCCAAGCCACCGTGGCAGCAACACCACGGGCAACAAACACAGACCACCCGAACCGCCATCGCTGAGCGGCTTGTAGCCCAATTCGTCCATGATTTGTGACAAGACTTCGATCGATGGAATTTCCACTTTGGCCTTTTGCACCTGGCAGAGGAGAGCAGAGGCGAGGCGATGCTAGAAAAGCCCGAGAGTTGAGCCGGGAAGCTTGAGGGGCAGAAGTCAAAGTCATAAGTGTTAATGAGGCCAGACAGGGCCACCATGAGGTCTGCCTAATTCCACAAGAATCAATAGTGCTGGTCTCCAGATTGCCAGGTTCGGATGTGGATGTGGGCTGGTGGGTTGGAACTGATGTGCCAGTGTTTAGGCAAGCTCCAACTTCTGTCAGAGCACACTCTTCACATTCGAGACTCTACTGAGACTATACTGGTTCCCTTATGAACGGTACGACAGGCTCTTCAAGAAGAAAGGATGGCGATGGTGTACGATTGGTCGACTCTGTAGAGCATGATCACTTCATCAAGCATGACCCCAGTATGCTTTTCGAAGAGAACGAAAGCTTGTACAAGACATCCATCTGTAAGGTTCCTCGTACTACAGCATCTACAGCTTTCGGATCCAATGATGATTAGGCTTGGTGAATTTCTTGAAATCCTCATGCCAACAGCGGGCCGGTCACCATCTGACCAACCTCGCCCAACCGTGGTGGCGCCCAGCGGTGCCTGGGTTTCCAGCACTTTCCCCAGGGACTTCACGTTGTACTGGATGAGCACTCCGACCTGAGAGGCGTGGTCCAGTGCTTGGTCCAGTTGGGAGGTTTGGGGAAAGGTTTGGAGACGAAAGCCAAAGCCACGTGGATGGACATGAGATCGTGGAGCTTGGAGGAATGGTGCAACATAAAACCCTTTGAATAGCTCTTCCTCCACCTCGTCCCATCTGTTCTCAACAAAATTCCTCTTGAAGTCATTGGATCATAGTATTGCAGAAAAATTGCAAGGAATTCTTGACCGCAAGGTGTCGTTCCACTTCTTCGATTTGTATGAAGAAAACACCCATGACACATCGATTTATCATGTCACCATGTCACAACGATTGGTGCTTTCTTGCAAGTGGTGCAGGACCCAACCAGAAGCCAGTTGGTTTACTGACTAAGACCTGTCTGGCATAGTTTTCGTGATTTTCTCCTTCAGGCTCAGCATGCCTTCAACATACCAATCCAACCAGGCCTCCCAAGCATCGCCCCCTTCCTCCCCCCCCCCCAACCCCCCCCGCGCCGGACCCCCTCCTTGTCCACATCCTCCGGGCGGAAGTCGGGCACCACACGCACGACCTGGCGGGACGGCGAGCGGCGTAGCTTGGCTCCTCTCGAATGGCTCGAGGCCACCGGGTTCGCTCCGTTTCGGAGCGCCACGAATCCACGATGATCCACTCACCCCGATGCCGGGGAAGAGACCTGCCCCTATGGACGAACGACTGGAGGGTAGGCACCAGGCGGTATGGTAGACACTGACAGTGTGTAGACATCTATACCTCAGGCTTGGTGGGTGGTCTTTTGGTCCTTTCCCCTGCCCGAAAGAGCCATGGGGGGGTCCAGAACAAAGGTCGCCCAACAGAAACAGTTGCTTGAATCCTTTGTTTGAAGAGCGCTGTTCTGCAGTAAGGATGTATGATGTTGGGGTAAAAAACGTCTCCGTCTCGCGCTCCAACAAACTCTCAGCCAAACCTCTGCACCGTAGCCGGTGTGGAAATCCAAGATGGGATCCACCTGAAGTGCAAGAAAGCTATGTGTTTCCTGGGGGGTCCCCCACCAACAGGATTTAGGTGATGCTGCTTGAATCTTCTTGATATGTTGCAAGGTAGGAGGTCCCCACTTTGACACCAATGCAAAGGTTTTTGTTGATGGAGAAACTCCTGACTGCTGCTTGATGGGCCAACTCAGTGGAACAGAGAACAGCGGATCTCACTTCTGTGCTGCAGGAACTACTCGCTTCATGACTGTTGGCAGCCCACCTCACGTCGCAAAACGAAGCACCAGCACCCCGCGTCAGAATGTGATCGTGATCCGCACACCCATCGGCGGATTGGGCACAGACATCGCGGATTCGGTCGGCGTCGTTCTGGCACTGGAAATCCCTCAAAGGATGGACGAAGGAAACTTCTGAGGTTCCAGCCAGCCGTCCAGCCTTGTGATCATCCACCTGGGCTCTCAGAGTCTCAGACCCTTCGTGTTAGCAGCGGACGTGTGGAAAAAACGAGTTGCTCCCAAGGCAGCTCGTGTTCGTCTCACCCCAACCAGCCTTACCAGCTTTTAGAGTGAGGAGTTCTGGACCCTGAACAAGTCCCCCATCAGTGTCTTTTCAAAAGCTCGGAGCAAGATCCACTTGTTCAAAGCGAGGGACCCACGACATTTGAAACCTCTTTTGAGGAATGTCTTTTCAGCCTTGAACAAATTGAGGGACCCCAACCCCAAGACCTGTTCGCAAGTTTTCCGACCAACAAAAGAAATCGCGAGCCCACTTGCCAGTTGAGACAAACCCACATAAGCCCAAATGGCCCAAAATCTACGGGCCAAAGTTCTTTTGGCAACTCTGTGGAGAATTCGTTGAGCAGAACATGGATCGCATTATCTGAGCCGTAGTTGTAGTCAAAACCGGGGTAAAGCACCTGCTGGTGGTTGCTTCGTGATGGGATCCCAACCAAAAAAAACAAGGGCATCCGAGCATGTATTCTACTGGCCCTTGAAGCGCTTTGATGGTGGCTCATGAGGTGAACGCATGCATTTGGACACATGACATTCCCTGCAATGAATGACATCTCATCCATTCAGGCGACTTACTGTTTTGACCAGCACTTGTTAGCAATGCTATAAATACACAACAAACTGGGACGGAAAAAACACATAGTTTATGTTTAAAAAATGAATACTAAGTATATAAATATAAAGTATGTAATGTATGTCTTTGTAATGAACCTATGTGTATATATATATATGTTAATTATTTGGATCAACACATTTACTTGGTTCTCATGTTCCATTTATGTGTATTCTGTTGTTTGTGTTAAATTGTATAAACTTGGAGTAAAAACATTAAGAACAGACTTAAACAATATGATGTAATATACATAGAATGCGAGCAAGGAAGAAACCTGTTAGACTCAAGGAAGCTTCAGAGAGTTCTACCAAGTTCCCTCATGGAGATCGGAATAGATCGGAGCATCCGCGGAGCTTTACAAAACCTCACACAACTCAAAGCATGGGGCCGTTGGTGATGTACCTACTTGCCATAGCACGATCAGGACGAGCGTGCGTCTTTGCTGATGCGTGCGCAGCAACTTGCGGCATCTGAGGAGCCCCAACATACTGCTGCATGCTGCGTTTGGATGCCTTGAAGTCCCTGCAGCGGGTGACCTGAAGTACAACGCACAGCAGTCTTGAAAGCAAGATCAGTCGCTCAGATCTCAATCTCTGCAGAACCCGACCCGTGGGCCCAAGGCCCGACACAACTCCATTTCGACCAAACTGACCTGACCTGGCCGCATCACACCGACCTGACCGGCCGCGACGGTTCGGCCGCGTCGTTCGGCACCCGCACCCCAACGACCACGTCGACGGTGGGATCCAGGCGGCCAAGGTGAAGCCTGAGTTCGAAGGCACCGGAACCGAAGTGGTCGACAACGGCAGTGGGGGAGGCACGGCCTCGTTTTGGGCTTCATCCTGAACTTCCTGGTACTTTCATCGAGATTACAAGTGTCATTTCTTCAAGAGTTCTAGCTTTGGGTGTGCGCCTTCGTGATCTTTGGAGCCTCGTTTGTTCCTCAGGCTCTGACGCAAACGATCTCAACTCTGAGCCAATGCCCAGCTTCTTGACCTGCGGCAGAACTGCCGTGCACCCAAAATCGAACTTGTTTGTGTCTCAATCGAACTGGCCCCGGAAAAGAGTGCAGCGACCGATGGAGCGATGTCGCTGACACCAAGGGGGTGGAGCTCGCGGACTCCGCATTAAGGCCTGTCTGTGCCAGTCTGCAAGCTCGGGTCAACAGGTGGACCCAGCTGTTGGTCGCGCGAACTGGAGAGTTGGAGGCATGGAGTTCTGGATCATTTTGTTTCCCACTGATGGGATGGGTATCTGATGGTAGAAGGTACCTCCGCATGAACCCAATCTTTGAAAGGGGTTATGTCGTGAAATGAATTAGACCGGTTCGTGTAAGACTGAACCACATGGAAAAGGGCGTGCACAAGGGAGTAAAGAGCTCATTGTAAGGCTTATAAAGCATCTCCTTGTAAGAGGCCATTGTCCGCTTCCATGTTTATTGGACAATGTGGATAGAATATGAATGGAAGTGTTTCACATACCTATGACCAGTACAGTATTCTGCTGGTAATGAAATCTTACACCGCCACAGACTAAGGCTTTGATATTGAAACACACACCCACACACAAAAAAAAGTCACAAAATCGCATCGGTTAACCTGGAAGTGCAAACACCTGCAACAGCTGTTGCTAGCTGCTAGCACGTATCACAGGATCGAACCACACAGCTTTGCTCACCTCATTTGCCGGTGTGTAGCTCAATTAGCAAGACCTCCCAGTTCGACCGCCTGGAAGAAGGGAAATAGACCAAAACCCATTAGTGATCCCTACTAAAATACGCCCCCATATCTTGATCCCATCCTTATCATCAGAGTCCTTTCGCTAAATGGAGGGCAGACAGGCGTGAACATTGCCACAACATTGTCACCGCGACAGCTACAGTGGCCCTCGCATTCTCGTGGCTCTTGCATCGTGTGAGCTCCCTCTCACGATGTTCAGCTGGGGCATGGTCTTGAGGCTTGATGTGCCCACTGTCGAATTACTCGAGGTTGCCAATACGGGAATGACAAGAAGAAACTTGCAAGATTAATGTGATGTCACCTGGATGCCCAATAGAGTTAGTTCAAGTGAAATCAGGCGTTCTTGGTGATTGAGTCATTCACAGAACGGACATCTCCAAGACACTAGCAATTGCTGTAGTGATTGAATCTACGAAAATAGCTTCAAGAATATATAAACCTTCCAAGTGTGACGCTTTTCAGCACCAGTTCAAGTGGGAGCTTAAATCTGCAGGCAAAGCCCAGGATCCCCATCAATTCATCAATGCGAATCAATGTATGCACATTGCATTTGCGTTGTGTTTGCAGCTCACATTTGGGGCACAGCTTCAAGGAGATTTGAGCCACGCCTGAGCTTACTTGGAGATGGTGACAAGGGGGAAGTCCTCGTTTTTTCTATGGGGCTTTCAGCTCTCCAGGCTGACCGCCGACCAAAGGGATCGCATAAGCCTCGACCGGTGTGGACCGAAGCCGCGTTCGTGCCAGGATCGACAGGTCTGCCCATCGCTTCGAGGCACCTGGGTCAGACCTGAAGGAAGGTTGCCCATCGCTCGATCCTTCGAACTGTTGCTATGATGCTCTGCATCAGCAGTTGTTCAGAAAAAATACATATATATATATATATACCCTATAGAAGTCGTAGCAGCTGCAAAAGCTGCTACTCTTGCATCACAAGCTGTAGAAGACACGCAAAACATCCTAAGGTTCACAAGCTGAATGGTAACTTTTTGTCGACGTCTCATTCTTTCCTCCAATGGTACGGCAAAGACTCTAGCAAATCGATGCCACTAAAGTTGCGGAGAGTAGACCAGGCAGATGAGGTTGGACTCTTAGATGAAAACTGATGGAAGAGCTGAAAAAAAAAGTGTCCCACAAACGTGGCCACAAAACCGTGTTTCCCTACAGGCTATAGTTCGCTGCCACTATTCGCGCCAAAGGGCTTTGAAACAACTAAGAGCGTCTTTTGAGGATGTCTTAGCGCCTCTGAATCAAAGAGTCCACCAAAAACACGGGGCTGACTGGTGACCCGTCCTTTTTCCTCCGGGGCGCCTCAGTCTGGGGATTGGAAGCAATGGCGATGAGCTGGATGATCCGCCCATCCTCAAACCATCGGTCTCTCGTCCGCCGTGGGCTACCGCAGGGCTAAGCCTCCGACCGGCGAGTGCTGTTTGGAAATCTCCATGAACCTGAGCCGTGGACGGCTGAGCGTGCAACCATGGCTTTTGGACCCACGTGCAGACTCCCTGGACCTGACATGGAAGTGGAAAACCCCCTGTGTGAGGAAAATGGCTTTCCGAGTTCCAGGAGAGTGTACTCTTTTGTCAGCTAAAAGCAAAGTAGATGCGGAATTCTGTGCGAGTTACGGGGAGCTGAAACAGCTGTAGCAAAACAAAACTAAGTAGGGCTTCAGTCTGCATCAGTTGCCCAATGTTGCCAAGTTGCTTCTCTTCATCTATGTCATTTAAGGCTCGAATGCGCTGCATGTACAGCACGGCTACAACCTAGGCGTTCATGGCCCAGGGCCCCAGCAAGCACTGACTGCAGCCCAGATACGTTTCAAACACCTTCAGTGTGCCAAGAGCCGAGCGTTGCCATCCATGACACAAACCTGGGTCTCTCATCCAACAGGAAACACCCAGTTTCTCGTTGTGATCTGCATTGGTTCCACACTCAATTTCTATGTCTACTTCTACTTGCTTCTTCACTCGTTCTGCTCCTGCTCCTGCTCCTGCTCCTGCTCCTGCCCCTGCCCCTGCCCCTGCTCCTCCTCCTCCTCCTCCTCCTCCTCCTCCTGCTAGAACACGTATCCAAATAATTCATTGGTCGGTAAGCAGATCAAACCGTGAAAAACAACCTCCTCAGCCACTCTCCATCTTGACAGTTACTTTGTTACTTACACTGTGGCTCAATGGCCAAACATATCTCTTTCACGTGGTACTGTCCGCAGTCCTCATCTTCGCGCATTGTTAAGTGGGTTGCTGTCCAGAGTTCGAACCCACTCGAGGTTGAAGACGAGTTCGAACCGAGAACCCTCAGTGTCGGGCCAAATTCGTTGTCGGAGATGTTTCTAAACGTCTTCTCAAAACCTCACGAGAGGCCTCGCGCGGGCGCCGCGTGTCGGGGTCGTGGTGTCGTGGATGCTCACCACGTCGTTGTAGGTGGCCATCGCGGTCGTCGGTTGGAGGCCATTACTAGGAACAAGAAGCTACGAACGGAACAAGAGCTTTCTGAGACAAATCTCTCAATTTTTTTTCACATCCTGGTACGCAAGAGTTTCATGAGGAGAAGCCAAGGTGGTTGACTTCTTCGATCCATGACTTCGGTGTTCATCTTCATCTCCCCCATGAACAGTGTACTTGTCGGTGACAAACCGCCAAAGACGGCACCAACACCGAAAGCTTGAACCTACAGCGATCGCACCAAACGGGAGATCCGCACCTTCGCTCTAAAACATGGAGTTGCACCGAAAGGTGACCCCATGTCATGTTGTGACCAGGTGACACCACTTGATCGAGCAAGAAAGAAGCACCAGGCTTAGATATGGCATATTTTTGGGTATATCCCACAAAGTGAGAATCATACTGCCGCTACCTGGGAGAGACCCAAGTCAAATACGCCCCTCTGCATGTTGGGCATTGAGGAATTCACCAGTGACCCGCCCCCATACAACGGCCCGAATGCACTGGTCCAGCGGCGCGCAGGTTCTCATCCCAGGCTACTTTCTCCAGTGCTTCCAAGCCTGGCTGTGGAAGTGAGACAAAAGAGGAACAAAAGCACGCAAAAACAGACAGAAACGATCGAAAACAGAAAGGTTCACCAGTTCAACAATCGGTTCACCCTCTTGCTGTTATGAACACCTTCAACACCTTCAACACCTTTTCGGCCCTCTTCAATCTCTGAACCTTTTGAGACCGAGGCTTGGCAGGTCCGACAGTTCCGCGAAGCGGATGGTGTAGGGACGCCTGGCGGCCACGCAACCCCCTTCCCGGCAGCACACGTGGGGGTGGATGAGGATCGGTGATAAAGCCACGCCCTGAGTTTGACATAGACAATGGCCACTTGCCAGCATGTGTTACCTCATGTTTCGGTGTGGGGGGATTGGGATCTGCAGCAGATGATATGGTCTGTGTTCAAGCAAATGTTGATGAATCTTCGCCCCCATCTAGCCCCTCGGCTCATGCAAGTGAAAGCTTGTATGCCTATAACATGCTTCAACCGAAGAATTGGTAGGGTACCCTAAAAAGGAAGCAGGATCAAAAATGGGAAGCAACGGAGAAAAACCGCCCACCCCACCGTTTTCGACCGTTTTCGATCCTCCGGACGCAAGCCTGATGAGGTGTTGGTTGATGACCCGGCAGTACTTACCCTGTTCCGGGTAGGTCTGAACGTTCCTGGATCGCAAGCAGGATCGGAGCCAAATCGCATCGGACCGGAGAAACATGTGTCTTTTTTCCAGTCTTGATCAGTCCTGATCAGTCTTCAAAAAGGAAGAAGAGGTTGCTGGGCAACACACAGAGCATCACAACATCATACAACACAAGGTCTTCAATATGAGTTCGGCTCACTTTCAACTGGTCCTGTTTCTTTAAGCAATCAGTTGGGCTCTGCGTCCGTCTCGTTATCGTCCGCCCTCATCCCTCTGCTCCGCACACCGAGCGGCTTGATGTTCGCGGGCAGCAGCCCGGCCATGGCAGCACCTCGGCGACCGCCGAAGGAGCCGACCAGGCAGCGCGTCCGTGGGAAGCGACCAGGAGGCCTTTGGATTCTGCAGGATAGCTTCCAAATGGTAAGTGTCCCAGACTCTCAGTCACAACGGCGGTGCAAGCTGCGAAGGGAAGGTTCTATAGTCAGGGTGATGCAATTGGGAGTTGCTGCCTCATTGGCTGCAGGACCACGCTCCAAAAAAAACGACTCGTTTCCGCCACCATTGGCTCAGGTGTCCCAGCCCATGGCAAAGGCCACCGGCGAGGTCATGTACTGACGAGATAGACCTTGACCGAGGCAAAGGAGCCGAGTACAAAAGTTTCTCCACAACAAGAATGTCACAAATGTCTGACTGGTGATAAAGTAGGGAATGAGGCTGGATCCAAAGGAGTCTCTATTGGGGGCGCATTCCCTCATTCCCTACTAAGCACCAGTCATAAATAGAGCGACAGCAATAAAATGTGTGTATGTGTATATAATAATATATATATATATATGTATACTGTGTATATGTATATATATGTGGATACAACATACAGTATGATTATATACATACATGTTCTAGTTCAGCCCGAATAGTGAAGAGCTCAACTTTTCATGAGCAAAAGAGTGGCCAAGCGGAGATATTCATGTACTATGCTGACAGGGGGTCCTGTAGTGTCCTGTGTGGGTTAGGCCCAAACATCAGGTTCTTGAGTCGAAATCCTGAAACAAATAGCAATCACAAGTGCCCGTGTCCAGCAAGCTACTCAGTCGTTCCTGGATGCTACTCAGTCGTTCCTTCCAGAGGTCACCAGTTTAAACCCCATTCCTCTGGTCATAGACTCACAGGGGAAGTCCTTGAAGGCTGCGAAATGGCCGGGGGGAAGTCCGACTTCAGACCTTTTGGGATGTCCCAGACCTGCAGGGGTCGACCTCCCAGTGTTTCTCAGACCCACGGTCGACCTGCATGGATACTTTGAAAGCCAAGGCAGCCGGTACCTCACTTTTGCTGCGCCTTGGAAATCCGATCCTCAGATTTCGAGTTCTGGGAAGCAGCGCATTGGACGATGTCAAAGTGAAAGGAGACGCAGTCGTTGATGAAACGCTCTGTAGTAGGCACATCAAGCATCATGACCTGGCAGATCATCTGTGGCTCTTTCGCACGAACCTAAGACCTTCCGAATGGGAGGATCCAGAATTTCTGACTCGGCGCTCACAGTGCGGCTCGCCGTGCCTCCAGCAGGCACAGGCCGAAGGAGCCCTCCAAGGCATCTGCCCAACGCCTGAGCAGCGAGAGCTGTGCTCGGTCTGGTCCGGTTGAGCTTCGTCTGGGAGGTGAACTGTGTTTACTGTTAACCAATGTTCAAAGATGGTTGTTGTCTGGTCAAGCCCCTGAAAAACTCATAGCTTCCCGTTGGGCGTGGTCAAAATCGGAATGATGCACTTGGAGATCTTCGTGGGTTTTCGTGCGCATTTGCCGAAGACAACGTATCTTGGTTGTAACCAAAAAAAAAGCTGTGCTTTGCTTCCACTTGATATCTTCACGAATCCCCAAAATCGACGCTGCTTGATCTCGAACGCCACACAGGCGGTGGCATAAAAGCCCATATTACGAACCTTCCACATCTTGGTCTTATACTGCTTGCTTGTGACCCAGCCAACCAAACAAGCCATCTAGATATACGTATATATATATATTATATATAACTCCTCTCTTGGAGGAAACCACCTGACTTACAACCGGCCCTTCGGCGCTTCCACAGCGTCCCGCGGAGGCCCCCGAGCTTGAAGTGCTCCACCAGCGAGCTGAAGGACTCCAATTCGGAGAGGCGCTGGCCCTGCCTCGGGAGCCGCGGAGCGGCGGGGCGGCCCGGGGGGGGCTTTGGCGGTCGTGGTGCAGAGCGGAGGTGCCTTTGTGCGGCGTGAAGTCTCTGCTGGTTGGGTGCATGTCCGCTTGGTCTTGATGCATCTCTGTACCCAAAAACCTACGGATAAGATAAACCGCTTTAGTCTATATAGTTATGCCTAGCCTAGCCACCGATCAGAAGCGGACAGAATCCGTTTTTCAATCAAATTGGTCTAGGGTAGTGTTTCGCTGCCACGCATGGCAGTGCGCAGTTGCCTTTTTTTTGTATGTTTCACCTGGACTCGAACACGTCGTTGGACTAGAGCTTCCGATTTCTTTGTTTTGAACCCGAAGCGACGCCGTTGTCGGTGTGGAACCGATGACCTGAAAAAATGACTCGTTTAGGCCGGTGCAGCGGCGAAGAAGAGACCAGAGCTGAAGACGAAGGATACAAACAGGATCACCCATCTGACTCATGCCACATCAACAGAATATATACAGTAAATGCGTTCACTCAACAACACTAGAATGCATGTCTTCACTCATCAACGGTGAATATTGGAAACGTGCCAAGGTGTCTTTCCAGTTTCGCGGATGTCACTAAGGCCCACACTTGTCCAGGTGGACGCAATCACGCATGGCAGACCTGGCAGAGACAGCCATTCTCGGATATGGGCTTGATCCAAGCCAACACGGAAGACACACAATTCCAAAGTACAGGTGGCCACCACTGCAACAATGTGACCTCACGGTTCTTGACCTTGGGAAGTGTATGCAGAAGCCATGGGTTCTTGCACCAGACCCAACAGCTGGCTCCGGAACCTGCTACGATCTGCTCCCAAGTCTATACTGTGGCTGAAGACCCGAAAGTTCCGCTGTTTGATGAAACATATGAAACAAAGGCTCAAGCAAATGGCATGGGCTAGAACCTGAGTGACCTCCAAAATGTGGATCGACATGTCAAAAAAAATCTCGCAGCAGACCGGCCATGGTCGCACCTGGCAAACTCCAGCACAACGTCTCCGACCGTCTCCTTGGGAGCCTGAGGCCATGTGACAGTCAAAACAGAGCAACCCCAAAAAAGGCACCATGTCAGTGTCAGAGAAAGAACCTGAAAGAACTCTTTCCCAGAAAAGAATTAATTCAATTCGCTTTGACATGTCTATCTCTCCTCTATCCGTCCATGCAGCTCTGTTTGGTTTTCATGTTTGGAGTCACTGCTCTCGATGTTCTCCCATGCTAAGCTCCAGACAATGTAGGGTCGATCATGGTCAAGAAAGGATCTCACATGCAGCCTCGCTGTTGATGTTTTCCCCGCCCAAAGAAACCGGGCGAACAAACGATGGCCAGAATCATGGAGCGATGATCAACCCAAAGTTCCCCCAACTAGACTCCTTGGGCCTGTGCATGACCACCTGGTGAGTAGGAACCAAATCTGCGTTCCCTGCCCACCCAGTCATCCTCCGGCGTCTTGGTTCCCAGGCGTCTTGGAAAGGTCTACCCCCTTCTTCTGAAGCCTCGGCCGTTCGCAAAGACACACCGGTGGTTCCAGGTGGTTCCATGGTCTACGCTTTCTGATAGCTCCATGTGCAGTCTCAAACTTCAGAAGACTCCCATCAATGCATCCTCTTCAATGGATGACTCGTTGATACGAACTGTTTCTAGGCACGCCCATAAGATGCCGTAGGTGCTTGGAGGGACCCGAAAATCGACTGCTGTAGGTGGTTGTTGACATGGTGGGCCTCACAGGAAATCAAAAGCAATAGATTTCTCGGGGTGTTCTCTACAAAGCTCGTTTATGATCAGAGTTTTCTAAGCCCTTTTGGAGGTTATATAATCATTTGGCATCGTGTTCCCTGGCAAAAATGGCAGCTCTTCAAGCGTGATAGATCAGCCCTAGCCTTTGTTTTGACGCATGGTTTGCAGCCCTTTGTTCTTTTCCCTTTTGCAGCCTGATCCCAAAAAAGTGTTTCCGGGTGTTTGCCAAGTCGGATCTGAAGAAAAAAACCAACCGACTTGAAAACGGGCTGGCCCCATATGATGATCGGTGGACAGCGACTGAAGTCGGATGACCCAACGGCCCTTGCTGGCCCACGCGGATGCGATGCGAAGGAGCCCCCTCCGATATCACCTATTTCAGTGCATGTTTGTGTAGCAAATGTTGAGTTCATGTGGAGGACAATGCGAAGAGTTCTTGAAAAATGCAAAAATGTTTCAAAGACCTACAAACCAGTTGTTGAGTTGTTACATGCTTGGTTGTGCAGATGCGGAACATTGTGGCTGCGACGGTTGGACATGGACACGTTGCAGATGCAGATCTGTCACTTGAAGTCATCAGCTTTCCTCACCAGGCACATGAACTCAATCATGCCTTGAGCAAATAGTTTCACATGGTGGCAGTCACAAGCTTTGCTGTTTGCCGCCGCATGTCTTGTCTTGCCCCTGAAGCAGTACTCATACTGGGCTGCACGAATTTGCCGGATGACTTGTGCCCTGGCCTTCACATGACTTGGTTGCGATGGATGCTCAAAGGAACATCCATGTCCTATGGATATGCTGCTTTGACTGCTTTGACCAACTCAGCGTCGGAAATCCCTTTCCTTGGCATTCCAAGGAGCTCATGTCGGCAGTCTCCGAAGACGATGAGTCAGAAGACAATGAGTCGGATGATGAGAATAGAATGCCCGTCCTCAATGGCCAAGGGTTGCTTGTGCTGGAGGGCTGCCACCTTCACAATTGCCACCTTCGACCCACCTGCAAGACCCACCTTGGAGAGGGGCACATGCACTGGACATTGTTCGTAGGTCAAGCGCTGGTTAGGCTGACAAGTGGGATGCACGAAGAGAGTGCCGTCTCTGATTGCAGTGGATCGGCAAAGCTGAAGACTCACAAGTCATTGACACTGAACACCTTGTGGTAGGTGCGGAGAACCCTTCAGTTGATTCGGTTGCATATTGGTTTCCATGATATGCCACTACAGTTGTTGCTCTGGTGCAAAGAAAATTGCTGGAACACGTCAACCCGAATCCCATCTTCTACTTCGAAACTTGTTCTTTCGCACTGGAAGGGAACCCTTTGCAGAACAAAACTGTCTCAAGAAACGGGCAAGAAGGGAACCCTTGACGCCAACTGGCGCGTTAGATCTTTGCGCATCGGTCTTCCATTCAGCACGTGTTGGGAGGAGGAGACAACTGCTTTCAACACGGACACTGCTCCTCCCTCCGATGCCAAAGAAAGCAGGTCAACTAAACCTCAACTCACGGGAAGTCACATATACCAAGCCTTATCAAGCAGGCAAGTTTGGGTTCAAAATCGTCAAGTCTTGACGTTTTGAAGCTTTGCCAATCCATTGCTATCGGGGCAAAGGGAAGGCTTTGCTATTGCAATTCTTGAATGTGCCTTCTTAGCCTTTTGCAACAAGGCGCGTTTAAGTTGGAAGCATCTATAATTGCCACTCCCGTCTCTGTTGCTTGCATTCTTCGCACAAGTCTTGCATATCGCAAGCAAAGATTTCTCCTAGTTGCAGCTTTCTTGAAGGAGTATGTTTGGCTGTAGATTTGGGGGGCTGTTCTAGAGCGCCAAGAGTCCAAGAGTCGTACATACACTTGCACCCCTTGTCTCGATCACCTCTGTTGGGGGCAGTTGGGGGTTGTGGCGTGGTTCTCCCGCCACCCAGGAGACTTCAAAAGCAGCGGATGCTTTACAGTGAGTACCAACCAGAGTCCTGGGACGAGCAGACTTTTTTGTAGAGTGAGGGATGTGGCAACTATTTCCAGCACGACCCAAGTCAACTGGAAACTTGACGTCTTTGAATTGCAATGGAGATTTGTCCGGGGTAACTGTCACTTTGTCAGTTCACAACCATCCACGGCTTTAGGGCACAGCAAGACACATGCCTTGGGCTGTCAGGAAACCTTGTCACAGAAGGATCGTTGGCCTGTTGGGCCGCGTACATCAATTCTTCCGCAAGCGTTCAGAGATCCCACCGATCGGTCTCGCAGGTCGGCCACACAGCGACGCAGGTCTTAGACGCGACGCGCGCGCGGTTCCCTTCCGCACGCCCGGGCAGCCGCCCTGCGACCGCGTGGATGAAGAGTGTGTAACCGTTTGGCACGTGGACTTCGCAAACAAAGTGCGTGACTTCATGTGATTTGTTGCTCCACTCACAGACCAGTGCGCACGGTCTTGTGTGGGCTACAGTACTTTCCTTGAGCGCAGAGTTCATGTAGACTGTTGATTAAAGGCGCGACGGGATCCGACTGGCTCAGCGCAGGTTCGCGCAGAACCAAAGAAAGCTGGTGATTCATAAAACTTCCAAACATGGATTGTAAAACCCTCTTCAAGCCTGGGAGGATTGAAATATTATCATGAATTCGATGATGTAGTAGGCAACTTCACCTTCTCCACATCCAGCAGTTTTGCAGTCCTTGGAAGGGGCCGCCCAGGCTGCCCCTGGGCCGCCCAGGATACCCAGGCCGCCGGGCGCTGCCATGATCTGCTTGGGCGCACCAATGTCGCCGAAGAGCACCATGTGCGTGATGTTGCTGAGCGCAGGTTGCAGGAGGGTCGATGGGTTGCGTTTTATGCGTTTTGGGGGATTCAACTGCACGGCAGACATAGCACGGTCCAAGCCACAACTGAAAGAAACACTCAAATTAGCAACCAACAAAAAGAAAACGACGGGTTTATACTGGTTCATCTTCGAAACCGCCGCCTTCCGGGGTTGCTGTTTATGCGGCATCGGTCCAGCGGCAACATTTGCTTCTCCAGCAGTCCAGCAGTCCAGCAGTCCGGTTTGCATGGGTGACATGAAGAAAAGCAGCTCTCGGAGCGTCAAAAACCTACCTGGGCAGATACATACTCCAAGGTCCCCCTCTACCAAATACCCGGTCCTCCCCCCCCCAAAAGATCAGGGAACTGTGTGGAGATGCTCTACAAGACACTCAGTGTTTGGATTCGTCCAAAGACTTTTGGCATGAGAAGCCCCATAGAGAATGAGGCTGCACTCGGAGCCCAATGTGTTGTGAATCAAAAGCTGTGTCGAGAAAAGTTCTCACCTTTGTTTGGCAGTCCGTACAACCTGTTTATTTGGATGCTCTACCGACTCTCAGATTCTCTCAGGACCCTTGCACCCGTGACCAACCAACCTTTGGGCCGCCTTTTGGTCAAATTCACGGCCGTCGCCACCCGCGACCTGCGCATGTCCAATCCGGCGCATTCCCGTGAAGTCGGCGAATCCGGTGACAATGCATTTGAATCAGGTTCTGGAGGCCCACACCCGGTCTGTTTGGTGATTCCTTTTGAATCATCGAATCAATCTGGGCGGCCGTGCTCTTCATTGAAGTCAACCCCGATCATGATGAGTGGAAACTCCTGGAAATTGGTGGATGGTGAAACTCCCTACTGTCTTCATCGAAGGACAAACTGGTTCAAGTTCATTTGATGAGAAAACTTTTAGAGGTCTGACAAGTTCACAATAAACATGCTTACAGCACTAGCGGTTTAGTATCCCTACAACCCAAGAGACCTCAAAACCAATGATGAAGTTGCTGGTGGAATGCCTCACCTCATGTGATGCCACGGCCTGGAAACGCCAGAAAAAAACGCCCAAAAAAGAAAACGGCCACAAAACGCCAGAAGCACAACGGCGGTCTCCTCCAGATGCTGCCCTCGTGGAGTGTGTTCTTTGATGTGTTGATAGACTTGCATCAGCAAATGCCCTCGGGCGCAGCCGATACGATCCCTCCGAGGCGCCGCCGGGCGAGGGCACGGCACGCTCCGTGCCCCCACAACAGAGTGCCGCCGTGCGAGGCATGGGGGGGTTCCAAAAGCGACCCGACCGGAAAGAACAAAGGGGGAAGGGAGGGAAGGAAGAAGGGAGAGGGCCAGTCTGACGGTCTCACATCTTCCACGCGCGTCTCGGGTTTTTGGTCGCAGGTCCCCGGCCATCTCCAGACCCAGTGTCCACCACATAGCGGGGCTGACTACTGAACTCGTCGCCAGAGAAGACGAAATCCATGTGCCGCCTGCGTACGCATCAGACAAATAGCGAGCGCTCCCAGGGAACGGGGGCTTTAACGGACGAAAGACGGAGCCACGAAGGAATGGCAGACTTCCGGTAGGCCCACCCCGGCGAAAACGAAGATCAAGAAGCTTCGGAAACGGGATGTTGATGTCCGCTTCAGAGTCGGGTTCATGGACAGATGACAGAACCCATCTGACTGGATCGCAGATCCCTCGCGTCAGATCTGCAGACCTTGGGAGACCGAAAGATCTGAGGTGCGGACATGAGATCCTTGAAGAGCGTGGAGTGCTGCGCTCCACTCCCAACCACATTGAGAGTGCGCTCAACCTGATGGAAAATGAGAAAAGAAACCATCAAACGTGAAGACATCGACAGTGCTTCTGAGTTGAAGCGGATCTATTATGATCTATATATAGAGGAACTCATATCATGGAGGGTGTAACGCTTGGCGAACAGGTTGCCCAGCCTTCTTGGGAACCACGAACACCCACAGTCACTCCATCCTATCAAAAATCCCCTCGTCGACCAGCCAAACACCACTGGTCACTGGGCCACGTTGCGTGAATCTCCGACTCATTCTCCTGCATATCCACAAAGCCCCAACCAGGCTCTTCAAAGAGGATGTTTTTGAATTCCGCCTCAATCCATCGGCTCAAGCAGCTCAAGCCCCTCCGACGCAAACACTGAGTGCCAGTCCAGCATTGGCGAGTAGGACGTTGGAACATAGTAGGAGTAACACCTGACGAAAAGAACACCAAAAAAAACGAGTGGAACGTGGAGCAGCAAGTCGTCACCATGAGTTCGGAGGCTGTTGTGGTCATGACCCAAACGGGAGAAATGAGTCCTTGATAGACCAGAGACCAGATCCACCGCTTCTTTGGGTCGCAAACTGCTTCCGGGGATTGCCCGCGGCTTCGCGAAGCAAAATCACACAGTGAAGCCCAACAGCTGAGACACCCAAAACACCAACTGAACGAAACCGTGGCTACTAGTAACAAGGGCATCGCTATTAGTAGCAAGAAGCTACTAGTAACATGGGCATTACTACTAGTAGCAAGAAGCTAAGCCGGAAACATAGTGCAAAGTGTACGAAACTCATGCAAGATATGGCCATGGCTTTGGGTCATGGCACCAGCATACCGACCGTTTGACCTACCTGGAAGGCCTTTCGCTCCAGACCAAAGGCTCAAGGGTGTTTTGACTTTTGACCCATTGACCCATTTCCATCTGTCGCACCCTCTTCGAATTCCAAAAGTCAGAAATTCAATGCACCACACCGTGTCTGAGGCTTATCACAAACGAATGGCTCTGGAGATCTTTGGGGACTTGGTGCGTGGTCCGTTACGCGCCGGTCAAAACAAAAAAGAGTTGCCTTTGCAATGCCAGTGATCCACGGGTAGAGAGCGAAACAATACCTGGCCAGGATTGGGATGTGGAGGAACCATAAAATACAACTTGAAAAGAATGAAAACAACTTGAAACATGGAAACAACATGAAACAACTTTATAACAAACCCTTTATATATATATATATACATTTCGTGAAAACGGCTTGAAACATCTTGAAATAACAATCAAAATTTGAGAAAAAAATTATCCTGCCCTCTGGCACCCGAGCCGAAGCGGGGATCCACTCTCCCAGAATCCAACCAATCCCTTCCGACCATCTGGTGAAACGAAAGAACAGCCTCTGATCAATCTGTTTATGTTAGGCTCGGGCGCAGTGGAAATCAAACATTTGTCATCTTGTGTTTTCGTTTGCCAGCTCCGCGTTCAGCCTTTGGGGCTCATCGCCCCCACGCCGAGCTCCTGCCGGTGACGAAACGAAGCGAAAGATGAAAGATGATGAAAGACCCTTTCACCTGCAGACCTGAGGAGAAAAAGACCCTTCCCTCCTCAAAGATCTCACCAAGAGCAATTCGTGACGCAGTGTCCACTTTGCTGAAGTCAAACTTCTCCATGGCCTCCACAAGCTCGCTCGCAGCTCGCGAACGCGTCGCACCTCGCACATCCTAAAGCACATCCGAAAGCAGAGTCGACTGTGCCGCATCTCTGGTGTCCAATTCGGGCAGAGACAGTCTCCACTCCACTCGTCCGGGTGTAACTCCTTTGTCGGGTCCGGTCCGCCACCTTCGTCTGGCACAAGGCGAGACATGGGGAAGAGTCGTCCGACGATTGCTATGGGTGGACCCACTCTGAGTGTTCGAGCCTACAAAAAAATAGATGGTGTTTTCCAGTTGTCACACTGCATCCTGAACACCCGAAATTTGGGACCATCCGTGTCCGCCCGATGACTGTGGGGTTTTGTCAGGGAAGTGTTGAGGTGTTGTCGCAACTCGGTCGAGGGCCGATGATGAGGAAACTCTCAATGCAGTCCTTGGAAGACCCTTGCCTTGTCCTTGCCGTAGTCGAGGCCTTCTTCGCTCCATCGAGCGAAGTAGGTGATGGACGTTAGCCTTGGCATCAAACAAGGGAGAACGCAATAACTCTCTTGACACACTTGAGTGTCAAACAGGGAGTCGCTTGATTGTGGGACAACGGAAGCACCACAAAGTTGCCCAAACGCACACGGATCACATCGCACCACCTCCCCGCAAAAAGCCAGCCGAATTCACGGCTCACGGCTCGGCTCCCCGTCCGGGACGCGTCCGGGACCGTCGCAGGACGAAGCAGATCTCAGGTGCTCACAAAGGCGCCAGAATGATGCCATCCAAAAGAATGGGCAGTACCTGCCCGTTCTTCCTTTCGTTCAACTACCCCAGACTACCCCGTTCTGCCGTTCAAGAACAAAGACCTGACCGTGGTCGGCGGACCGGTGATGGTCGGCCGAACCCGAGTGCAGTCCACGATGGATTTGCTGCCTCTCCGCGTCTGAGACTTCGAGGGATTTGTATGATCTTCCTCAGTTCTTTGGTGGTCATTTGAGCCTGCCCGCTGGGGCTGTAAGAGGGGCCAGTCCAATTACAGTAGAAAGGTCTATGGCACTCAAGAAGGATAGATGTAGAAACCGTATCAAGGGCATGTAGAAGCCCTTCCCCGCCCATATAATCGTAGGGCATATGCATCATATGCAATGCTTCATCCTTTGCCTTGGTCAAGAATTTACACATCACCGCAACATCACCATCAAGTGCTCCAAAAACGCCCCCCTGCTCAAAGCAGCAGAGAACCCCACCAAGCCATCCCTTCAAGTCCCAAGAAAACCTCCAAGTGATGTCCTTTAGATCCTCCGAACAAACGCTGTCGCCGGTCGCCGGCCCGCGGCCCGCCTTGCTCCTCGAGTGGCTCCACGCAGGCCGGTGCTCCGCCCAGATCACCAGGCAATGCCTGCGGATCGCACTAGCTCAAGGCCCAAACCCCGAGCCAGATTGAGGCGCCAGGGGATGAAAACCCGCGGTTTGTTGCAGAGACTGTAAAGGCGCCCCTGATGTTCGGGGTGTCCGAAAACCTTCATCCAAGCCTTTTGTTGCTGGGCACACCCAAAGGCACAATAAGGCATTTGTATTTGCAAAAAGCAAACTAATCATCCAATTCAACGCTAGGACACCCGGCGTGGCAGACTTAGAAGGAACCTTGAAAGGAGGAATCGCCTGGAGCGAAGGGCCACTAATTCAAAAGCATCGGGGTGTTATAGCTGAAGCAAAAAGTAGTGAGAAAAGTTGTTTGCTAGAATAAACATGCATGAACATCTGCTTGGGACTCGCTTTGAATCGAATCACAAGCGCTTTCATTGAAAGACAAACTTGAGCATTCTTCGCCTCAGCATAGACACTGCGGATGGCGCGTGCCATCCCCGAGGAGGGCCTGCAGGCTCTTCCGGTTTCAAGTCTGACGACCGCCGGGTCCGGGGTCTCTGCATCAACCGAGACCTTTCTCACCAGAACAGGTGCCGGAGCCCGGTCCGTCAACGACTGCGCCTCAACAAGGTGCGCAGCTCATCCAACTCCACGCCCTCCACAGTGCTGTAAGCCCCCTGCGCACGCTGGGAAGCAGCCCCCCCTTTGAGCACAAAACCCCAAGGTCGAATGTAGACTAAGAATCATCTCTGATCGAAAAGATCGCTGCATTTGTGGGAAACGAACACTTTCTTGTATGGCTATAGGTCCATATTGCTATAGTGCACGGTGAGATATATGCTTTTTCATGCGCAGAAAAAAATCTCCGAGTTGGTTGTAAAATGTTCCGAGAAGGTCCGAGCGCTCAAGTTGACTTTTGTGCCAAACGACCGATTTCAGGATCCTAGTGACTACTCCTCTGAGCGACCGCCCAGCCGTCTCGTTGACGGAGAGGTAACCCAGGATGCGACAGGTGCGCAACAGGATGGCCAAAGGGCCGGCCTGAATGGCAGACATGGAATGAAGGATTGCAAAAAGTTCCGAGAGCTGACTTCAAGGACTGGAATCTTGCACCTACTTCAATCCCGCCTCAAACCTCACAGCCCAAAAGGGGGGGCACTGGAGTTTGTACATGTGACATCATGTCAATGTATAAAGACAACTATTATAGAAGAAAAACTCACTACCTATTACTGCAGATTACTGCAACTGCTATAGGTCCAGACATCCAGGTGCAAAAGGAAAGAAGAATGTAAATTGTAATTAAAAAGGTGTTTTAAAAGGATTGAATCAATGCTAGTGACCCTTGTGAAGTTCTTCTAATTTGGAACGTGATTAAGCAGTTCTATACAATGAAATGATCATGGAAGTGAAAAATGGTCCCTTGCATGACCATTTTCCCATGCGAACAAACATCCGGACCCGAACTCATCCCACAATGCATAAAGTGTCTTCTTGTGGAAGAGGCGAAAGTGTTGTCCTCAAGGTTTGAGAATATGGAAGCAAGTCCTTTTTGGGGGGATGTCCTGAAAAGGATCCTGCGCAAAAAAAAACAAAAAAACTCCCCCTTTGAAAGGACGACATCACTTTCTTGACTGGAAAAAAAACCATTGAACGAAACATCAAGCTCTCGCATGTAGAATCCTTTTACATATTGGCTGGGTCATCCTCCGGTGGAACGGCGAGGTGCCGTTCCGGCGAGTTCGCATGACCGTTCCCATGTCTATCGGTTCATCTCGGTTCAGCTCGCCTGCGCTTTGAGCCCTGCGCACATCTCCTGAAGGCAGACCGATGCCGACGAAGACCGATTCCCAGGAACGGACGCCTCCATTCACCCACACACGAGCCAGTCACTTGGGAAGCCAGTCACGAAAGGCGAGCCTCTTAAGGGGATTTGAACAGACGAAACCAGTCACTCTCTTCAGGGCCCAAGCTGGGACGTGGGCCCGTTTCGAGGGCAGCGAGGAAAACCACCGACCCCCAGGGCCGACGGGCCGACACGGGGCCCTTCGCCATTCGGTTCCGATGTCCCAAACCGATCGAGAAAGCCGCGTCTCTCGTCCGATCTCCTGGGGCGTCATCGGTCTTTGGGACAATGGCTCCAGGAAGGTCTCCACAAACTCCAGGAGCAAGGGCCCCGCCTGGGAGTTCCGTCGCCCGAGGGGTGTGGCCTCTTAAAACCCTGCAATGTAAAACCTTTTTGGTGCGGACGGTTGTGAGTGAATCGTCAAAATCAGGAACCACGAAGGCATTTTGGTTGAGTGCTTCTATTGGCTTCTCTGCGAACCCCTGGACCTCACCGGCGAAGAACTTCTGCGGAGCACGGGATCCGTGGAACGTAGAGAAACATTGACAACGCTTGTCGAAATTCCAAATGGCACCACAGCATCGAAAACCACGGAATGTTGTTCTCGACCTGGGTCTTGCAGACCCATAGATAGAACTAAGCCGCCTGTGGTACGGATGCATCTGCGCGGTTCCCTTTTCAAAAGGCAAACTTGAATCAATCTACCAGTTGGGGTGTTTATCGAGGCCCAGCATTGCCCAAAACCTCCACTCACTGGCTAGGTCTATGCAAAAGAAGAATCACCCCTGTCGTCACAACGTGTTGCATGTCAACCGTGGAGGGCTGAGCCCATGGCCGTCCATCCATGGATGAGCATGAAGGCATTGCTACTGAGATCGATGCCACTCTCCACAGCATCCTGCGGTCGAGATTTGGCTCCAAGCAAAAGAGCCGGCCGAAAGAGGAACCCAAAAATGGAACCATTGTATATGGCATATGGGATATGCTCTATATATATATATATGTATATATATATTCACTTGCCTTGTCTCCGCCCCGCTCCGCAGTTGGGTCAAAGAAACGGAATACATCGACTGCAACTCTTCCTGCTTGCTCTCTCTCTCTCTCTCTCTGGCTTAAGGGCAGTTCACAACAGCTGAATGCAGTTGGGTTTCAACATCTGGGGCTGGGAGTGGCACACAGCTGGCCCACGGGGCTCCAAAACCGGAATTCCGTCCTGGAACCTTGGGCGCCGTCTGCTGGAACCTTGGGTGCTGTGCGGGTGAAAGTTGGTGCACAGTCTGGAACCTTGGGCGCTGTGCGCTGAACCTTGGGCGCTGTCTGCTGGAACCTGAAGTTCTCTGCGGGGCGAGAGTGGTGCACAGTTGCACAGTCTGGGCGCAACCTGTGTGGGGAGTGGCGCACAGTCTGGAATGTTCTGTCTGCCGGATCCTGTCTGGTGTGAAAATGGCGCGCCGTCCGCTGAATCTGTCTGGGGTGAGAGTGGTGAGCGCGGCGCTGGCATTCTGGGCGTGGTTTACTGGAATGCGTGTGAGGTGAGCGTCTTGGGGCGCTGTCCCGGCTGTCGGAGTAGACCTCCTCTGGCGCACACTCTCTCCCTCAATCTCCTGCTTTGCAACCTCCCTTTATGTTTTTCCTCTGCTTTCGTGGCGCAGGAGCCTCCTCTGCCCTGCAATCTCCTCCTCACTTTCAAGCTTAACGGCGCTGAGGAAGACTGGCGGCGCTCTCAACGCCTTGAAGATCTAGGTCTGGGCGTGGGGTGGGCTCCTCCAGCTGACCGCCTTCTCGAGCAGCTCAATGTACGCCCGCTCAAGGACCTTAAAGCCGACGTCCTGAAGGGCCACCGCAGATCAACTCTCGAAGATCGCTGGATCCTCCTCACACATAATTGTGGCACCTGCACAATTTTCCGTGGACAAACTCCTCCACCCACATGAGGAGCTTCCACCCGCTGAAGAGCCGACATGCTACATCGAAGATTACATGGAAAGATCCTTGTCATTGACGAAACGATTAGAATCCAATTATTGTGTATAAATATAAATACATAGATAGATAAATATCAAAAAATAATATATATATATATATGTATATGTATAGATAGAGTGGGCGAAAGCCAGCCTTCGTAGACATGGAGCAGTCTTTCAAAGTGCTGTCTTTACAGCTGGTTGGGGAGACCCAGCCAGATCCCAGAAGATAGCACTCCTTTGCCGGTGCCCTTTTTTCTTCCCCATAACTTTGACAAGGTGGTCAACAGGGCACCACCGCACATGGCCTTTCCGTTGAGTCTTAGATGGTGTTCTACGCGTTCACTGCTGCCAGTCTCTACAGCGGATCAGTATAGAAAACAGTAACCGCTGTGCGTCCATGTTTGCCGGGAAATAACCTGCACGCACACAATTAGACAGGCTAGACAGACCACTTAAACTTTAGCCTGGCTACTTTGCGATGCTGCTGGTGCACTATGAAACCCTTTTTCGGCATCACTGGCATCAGCGATGCTTATAAACATGCATTTTGACTACAATTCGGCCACCCCCTTTTGTTCGCTCTCCCCCACCACCCGCCACCCACCACCTCGCAACCACCCCCACACCCCCTAGTACTCACTTCGTTCGCCCATCAAGCACTCCAGCCTAGCCTATGGGCTGGCTGTCGTAATAATATATATATATATATCACAATTGTTGCTTGTGTTTTCTACATATGCCCTCACTGACTTCGGCATCGAATCCATCCATTTCACACTGCTTCACCCTGCCTGGAGAGTTGCTTGGTCGCACATGGTGCTTCTCGCCGCGTCGCAAAACTGTACAATCAAGTGGGATGATGTCGTTGATGCGAACTGGTGTCGTTGATGCGAACTGCATCAGTTCTTGTGCCGCAAGACGCTGTGTTGTCGGGGGGTCCCATGAAACGTGTCGTGCGAAACCATAAAAACCATGAAAGCCAAAACGGCAGCTCTGACCGCACACGCACATTGCGGAAACCGTCCGAGTAAGAGACGATAGAAAACTCATGGTCTCACACAGCACCCTATGGCACATCCCTTCTGAATCCTCACTAATATGTATATATATATATAATGTGTATATATATATACCTGATGTTTTTGGTCCACAAAGTCCACAAATTCAAACTGCCAACACCTGTTCCACCGCAACCACAAATTCGCAACTCCAACTTAAACTATCCTAAATCCCAAAGAAGCACATTGTGTTGGACTGTCAGCAAGGGCCGCAGTCTGTTTCTGGCCGCTTGGCTTCGCCAACTCTCAAAGCCTGAGGGCCGTGAAAGAAGGAAAACGTGGAAGGCGAAAAGCGCAAAACGCAGAAAGTTGATAGCGTGGGCAGTCACGTGACTGCGTCTTTGGGTGAACTATTGGACGCTGGGAAGGTATCTTGAGGGGCAAGATGGGGCATGGCTGCTTTGTGTTTCTTCCGTTTCCGGGGGGGTCGTGGTCTCCGCCAGTTGCTCCGGCGCCTTGCCTCACAAGGAACAAATGCCCTTGGCCATCAGCAACCTGCACGTCGATAGGAACAACAGCGAGGTGGTCACTTACCACTTACCGGGCAAATCGCGGTGGTTGGTCAGATGAAAATTCTCCCAAAACCACTCGGGTGTGAGCCATGGATTCCTCCGCCAGGTGCCAAAACAAGCTTGGGAAAGCTCTCACGCAATATGAATTGTGGCCTGCTTCCAACCGCATTGTTCATCCCACGAAATGCTGATGAAGCTGTCACCAAAAACCACCAACTGCATACTGTAATAGAGATTGTCAGCCCTAGCGGCTTCAATCCCGCAAACATGCATTTCTGCCAATTTCCTTCGGTGCCCAACCCCACGCACCGTCACGTCGCGCACCGTCGACCGCCCCGTCGACCGCAGCGGTTCCTGTGTCCCAAGGACTTCACGTTGAGCACATCCCACAGTGAGGCGTCGACACGGCTCATGACGCTCCCGTCCTGGCTCATCACACCTGAGGGACACGGATCCGCCGACGGATCCGCCGAAAAAAGGGATCCGTCACTCGGCCACGGAGAGCGCGTCGGTCGGCCGAAAAGCGGTTGCAATTCCGAGCTGCAAGCACTCAGAGCTTCCAGGCTTCCAAACTGCTCGAGGATCACGGTACCGTAGGCAACCTTGGGCAACGAGCGGGAACAAGCGGCAACAACAAACATGCGTGGCACTGGTCGCAGGATTCTCTTTGGTGGTTGAAAAGAGGGTGCACCGGAATAGCGTTCCTAGAAACCGCGCCCAATCCACAGTCGTACATAGAGGCTGCGACATCAACCGGGTAGAGGGGAGTAGGCTCACTCTCGTGTAAGTTCCTCGCATATAAAGAAATGTTCAATACATACATCTGCGATCATCTGCGTGTCTCCTTGACCTACTATTGATGGAAATCCTCTTCCAAGATTCCAACCCATGTCACCCGTCACCGCAAAGCATTCTTCAGCTCTTCATTTGGAGCTTCAGCCAAATGGTCGGCGCTTCCAGCCAAGGCTCTAGAGCCCCTCGGCCTCCGTCAAGCCCTGTGAGCCAGTCTTCAACCTGCGGAGTTTGAACTTGGCCACCGTAGCCCGACACGGAGGGCTTGTGGGACCTCAACCTCAATGACCACTTTGAGCACCATCGGATGCGGAAAAAAGAAGTGATCCAGCAAAGTTAGGAAGAAAACATGGAAGACTGCAGGAGACTGCGAAATGTCTATTCATCCCAAACTGGATTCTACACAACAGGGAAGACATTGCATGGTTTAGGCACTGAGGTAAAGATGGAAGTGTTACAAAAAAGGAATGATGTTCTGCACAACATGTCTACACTTCCTCTTCACTGAACCAGTACAAATTTCTTGCGTGTCTTCTTCCTAGCCTCTTCCTTTGTGTCCTTGAACTTCTTCGACAAAGGCTTCACGTTGGGCGCCATCGACGGCGCGGCACGGGCCGCGCTGCGCGTTTTCGGCGCCGGAGCGGGCACCGCAGCGCGCGCAGCCGCGGGCGCCGCCGTGGATGGCGCTTTGCGCGGCATCGCCTTGGGGCGCGGTGGCTGCTGAGGAGCGCTCCAAATGCCACCGGCTTCGCTTGAAGAGGAGGACTCCTGGAAGCCAACGAAGTGACAACGGCATGGATGGTCTCTGCTTTTGGTGAGCTGTGTTGAAATCCTGGCAATGCTTTCCTGCCACTTTCGCGACCCGTGTTTTTGCAACCTTTGTGGGCCTTATTGCCAAGTATTCACTTGCTCGCCCCTGTCCCTGCGGAACCTTCGTTCTTTAAAGTGCAACTGGTTGACAGAAAAGACACGTAGTCCAGGAAAGTGTTTCACAACTAGTTTCCCAACACAACAAATCTAAATGCCACACGTTCGCGAAGTTTTCGTGCACTCCTGACGTGCAGGTCCTTGCGGACTTGGCGTCCGTGGCATGCTCTGGCGAGGTGGAGTCGACTGCCGCCTGCTGTGTTGATGTCGACTGCTGCTCCGTCGCCTCGAATCCCGCCGCCGTCCAGAACGTGGCCGCGAGCGCCGCGAGTGCCCGGAGCGCCGCGAGCGCCACGAGCGTCGTGAGCGCCGGGACCGCCGGGAGCGCCGGGAGCGCCGGGAGCGCCGCGAGCGCGAGCGACTTTCCGTTCTCCCAGCCGGGGGAGACGGAGAAGCAGCTTTGCGAGGTGGAAGAGTGAGCCTGGACATGGTCCATGAAGTTTGTTTTTCATTGTGCGAAGATTGTGCTTTGATAACAAAAATGCCACTGCCAAATCGGAAACAACCAGCACAAAAGCACTAAGTGTTTAATTCCTTAGCAAAAGCACCTTCAGCACATCAGAGTGAGGCATGATTCATTCTGCCTCATGATACATGCTGCCGCATGATCTCTCGCGGTCACGTGCTTCAACAAGGTCTGGTGCCTGCCAAGGAGCGGGGTTTTGGTTTCAGATTCTTTCTAGTCTGCCAGTCAAGAAGCATACCCACCTACTAGTGCACCATCTCATGGCCCAGACCAATCCAAGGCCAAAAAAATTATCCCGGCAAGAGACCCCAAACAGTGTGTGTGTGAGGTCCAAAAGTAGAAAGTCTAGAGATCTACACGCATTGGGGTCCAGTGAGTGAGTGAGTGAATGTGACTGTGACTGTGAGTGTGAGTGAGAGTGAGAGTGGGAGTGGGAGTGAGAGTGAAGGAGGGTGTGAGTGAGTGTGAGCGCGAGTGTGAGTGAGAGTGAGAGCGCGTGTGGGTGAGGTGGGTGTGGGTGAGTGAGAGTGGGAGAGTGAGTGAGTGTGAGTGCGAGAGTGAGTGAGTGTGAGTGCGAGTGCGAGTGCGAGTGAGAGTGAGTGTGTACGAGTGAGAGTGAGAGTGGGTGTGAATGTGAATGTGAGTGTGAGTGAGAGTGAGAGTGAGAGTGAGAGTGAGCGTGAGTGAGAGTGAATGTGGGGAGTGTGAGTGAGAGTGGAGAGTGAGTGTGAGTGAGGGTGAGGGTGAGCGGGAGCGTGTCTGAGTGAGAGAGCACAAAGCGCTGCGCCTGCGCAGAAATCTGCACTTCGAGGTTCACAAAGTACTGCGCCTGCCACGAAGTCCGCTC